AGTATAACTGCTTGGCTTAGTCTTTTGACCATAATAAATGGTGTATTAATACATTGGTGATTATTACAGATAAAAGCATTAGATAATTTATAATTGATAAAGAGTCTACTATCATCTGCAGTATTTAAGATTTGAGTTGTTTTGTCAAAATATTTTGAAAGTACTAAACCTTCATTGATGCAATTAAGGTCAGCCCCTGAGTCTATTAATGCTGAGGTTTGAAAGCTATAATCTTTTGCTACAATTATAGTGACTTGAACAAACCATTTTTGAATCATAATTTTATCTATCAAATTGACAGAGGGAATTGTTACCAGATGAGGTTTGGCTTCTGAAGTTTCTAGTATATTTCCTGGTGGATCAGGCTCATATGTTATAAGCTGATCGAATTCTAGTTCATCTGTATCTGACTCTGGTTGAGATAGATTTTGTAATTCTAAAGTCTTAATTCTATTTTTTAATTGATTTACTTCTTTTTTGACTTCTTTGATTTCTTGTTTTAATCTACAGTGATTTTGAACCAACTATTTTATAACAAGTAAGCAAATAGCATACCATTATATTTGATTAATTCTTGTAATATTCGGATATAATTAAGGCAAAATAAAATTATTATAATAAAAGGAATAATTGAAATGTCAATAACAAACCACGATGTGTGTGTGTGATTACCTATTTTAATACTGAAGACAAGTTTAAACTGCATCAAATCATTAGATCTTATTCATATGTATCACAGATTACAAACCATAAACAAACTATAATCAAACTAACTGAAACATAATCAAACTGACATAATCAAACTGACTGAAACAAACAAACTGTAACGTATATGATACAATCTAGTGAAAACATAAACAAACACTTACTGCTTACAGATACAATAACTGGAGAATAACTTCCAGTTGTGAGGACAGTATGATGGGAGTGTATGGAAGTTACAGTCACACATTTTAAACTAAGAAAACTAAGATATGAAATTGAGATAAGAAGATAAGAGAGAACCTGGTTTTGATGTATCAAAAAGATAGGAAAAACCTGGATAGCATGAGACAGGTTCTGGCTGTGAGGTCAGGACAGCAGTTGTAGTCTTGCATAAATAGCAAAGAGATGAGAGAGCAGAGGGATGAAGAGTGATGAAGAGAGATGAAGAGAGTAGATGAAGAGAGCAGAGAGAGAGCAGAGCAGAGTGTGAGAGGGAAGAAGTTCGGAGACCTTCATTTGAATGAGGAAGGTATGCCCTTTTATAAGCAAAGGATGAGGTTGCTTCGTGAGGAAGGAAAGAGGTGAGGTGACTTGATTAGACCAAAAGGGAAAAGAAAGGACATAAAGCAAAAAAGCAAAAGAGGAAAAGACAAAAAGAAAAAGAAGATGCTTAAAGAGGCATCTTAAACAGTGACATGTTTGTCTTCTTATGTCGGCAGCACAATGCCTCATTTGTCGTATACGTCGGTAGC